AATCTGAATACTTAGATTAATAAATGTTCTTTATTCTCATGCACTAAAATCAATGCGAATAAAATGAACTTAAATGGTAAATATTCCTGAACTTTTTTAAATGCTCAAATTTATCGGACTATGCACTATATTTATAGTAACTATTATGAACTTTGATAGCTTAATATTCATCATATTCACGATCTAAAACAAATTATGAATAGTAAATAAAATTGGAATAATATATTTAGGTTAATAAATTGTTTTTTTTTTATACTCATGCATTAAATTATCGCGAATAAACTAATTCACAGATTTGAATAATCTATTGGAAAACTTAGGTTTATAAATGTTTTCACTAAATTACTGCGAATAAAATGAATTAAGCGGTATGTAAAAATTCATGAACGTAATCTTGATTAAATACTAGGTTTAATATAAATATGCAGTAAATCTTTATACCACATACACAAAATTAAATATGTAGTAAAATATTCATGAACTTGGGTAGTTAATTGGAGTCGTTATCTACTTAGATGTTCCAGTTCGGCTTCCAAAAGCTGCTCTAGCTTGAACTATCTATTGGAACACGGTATTGTTCAAAGTCATGTGATTTCTAACAGTTTAAAAATAATATACGTCATTAATTTGAGTCAGTTTAATCTCTATTAATTCTAACTACGGCTTATTGACTCGGTTCTATTCTACAACTAAGCTAGGTTAAAGTGAGCCAAAGTCAAATGCGCATTATTATATTCATATTCGCGAAGTTACGTAAAATCCGGTCATGCTAATAGAAGTAGTCATGACACGGTTGAAGTCTAACTGGATGATTCCCGCATTAAGTGATTTGTGAATGTGATTACTTTTAATAAGAAAAAAAGCCAACGAATCGTAATTGGCAATAGATTGACCTACGGGCTGACCACCCAGGTCATTCCGGATCTACATTTTCAAAACGATCTAATTCTGGTCACATTTGCAGATTATTTGGCATATTGGAGAATAGACCAAATGATCTACGAATTTGACCAGAATTAGATTGTTTTTAATATACTTGCACCTACCGACTATATTAACATGAATAAGAAATAAATTAAATAAAAGGTAATAATGTATTTTTTAAGATACATTATTTACCTTTTTATTAAGTATTTAAAAATACTTTAATTAATAAAGAGCATTAGTTTATTTTTAAACGATGTGTTTGATATATTCTATCAAACTAATGCATAAATAAAATGCATTAGTTAAGCGGATGAATACAGTAATGATGATAAGATAAATTTTTTTCTTATCTTATATTGGAGTATATACATATAATTATAATTTCTAACCTAAAATTTTAAACCACTAAATACGTATTAGATACTTTCCCGTTTCTGGTTTTACGCATGCAGATCGAAATACCCTATTCCGGAGCTATGTATTATTAGGGTTAGCATTGAAAATTATAGTGGATTGGGTATGATATGTTTTTTAAAGTAACTCTATACTGTATATACATCTTAATTCTGCTGTATTTAGCTGTATATCCGATATTTATTTATCTGAGTTTAAAACATATTTAAAACATTCTGTATTGCAATTGTCTACATTTTCTAAATTAAGCTTACACTTCTCCGTTCCTGGTTTAGCGTGACAATGTTGCGCAGCTACTTATAAATACTATAAAATTACAAAAAATATGGCATATTATATTTGTAACACTTTCTAACTCTTCATTTCCAATGAAAATTTCAGTATAAACAATCACACACGTATCGCAAGTGCCTTCGAGATTTCTGATTTTAAGATATAATAATTTGTAAATACCGCCTCTGTTTCTTCATCCTTGGCATAATAAGCCTCTGCATATTTTACTACTTTTCGTACTTCATTCAACCCTCAGAATCAACAGTACCAATATTGGAAATAACAGATGATTCCTATGTCAAACCTCCTCCGGGCGTGGACCAGAACTTAACAATCTTCATCGGAATTATGACCATTTATGAGAGAATAGAGATTAGGGAATGCTTGCGCAAGTTGTATACACACAATAATGACGCTCTGGCGCAGTATCTCAGAGTCAAGAAATCGCCCGTGACGATTAGATTTATTGTGGGACAGCCAAAGGATGAATATAAAGATAAACTGGAGGAAGAGTCTAAAATATACGGGGATATTATTATTTTAAATAACACAGAGAACATGAATGAAAGAAAGACGTTTGAATATTTCAAATGGTTTGCTAAGCATGTGAGTATTCTTGTTTTGCTATTTGGTTGCGCACGTCAATAAGCATTCATTATTTTGAATACACTTAGAGGAAAGATAATTATCTAGTCAAAATTGAGGATAACACTTTCATCCACCTTATTCACTACTATCGTGACCTTCAAGACTTACCGCGAAAACGTGCGTACTATGGCGGTGTGTATTTTGGCAATGATCTAGATGATGATAGTACATACTCGTTTATGGGAGGTATGTTTTTTATTCAATTTTTATCATTAACGTTTCATGCACTCTTTGATCTATTTTCTTTAAACTCGAAATAAGGCGCGGGATACACACTCTCCCGCGACCTCGTTATAGACATTGTTGGTTCAGACTGGGTTAGTTTAAATGTCAAGGGTTTTGAGGACATGCTAGTGGGTGATTGGATATGTCATGTGGCTAGAGAGAAGAAGTACTTTGTGCACTATGTCGGCTTTTCAAGATGGATGTCCATCCGCCAAAATCCTTTTCATGACTTTGATGAGGATCTGGATCTCCACTCCCTTAGCGAGACTATCCTAATCCATGGTATAAAAGGCATCGAGGAATGGAATGCCATGAAGGATGTGTACACTAAATATGAAGAGGGATTACCAATGTTCAAAGTCATTCGGAATTCAACGGCCAAAGGCCTGGTTACAAAAAGGGAGATTATTCCAAAATGCTGGGAGAAAGAACAGATCTTGAATAAAACGTTGAAGAATACCTACAATAACTGGTTCTATGAAGCATGGGGTTTTAAAGAAGGGAAGTGGTATGGATATTATGGGCCTGTGAATACGAATACTGGATAGAAAAAAATTATATATATTTTTTATTACATAATTTACAGTACTTAGTGTTAATTGTTGATTGCGACTTTTTATGATGCTATTACATCAGCAAGCTATTTAACCCAATATATAGACTTATATAATATTATATATATTTTGTTTAGTATTTCTATAGAAATAAATTTTATTTATATCTATGTATATAAAAATAATTTAATTTACAGCTACATATTTCTAAAAATGAAATGTTCAGCATGCTAAAAAAATCCACTCAATTTAAACTTTAAAATCTAATCCTCAATATTTAAATTAAAAATATTTTGCAATTTTATATATTAAATAACTATGTGAATCTACATTGGGTTTATAAAGTTTTATAAAAATTCAATAAAAATTCAGCGTAATTTTACATAAAAATTTACATAGATCTATGTAAAAATATACTGTGATGTAAGATTGCGATTTATCATCAAACTTCTTCATTTATACAGGCTAATTTTACGTCACGCTACAATCATTCAGTGTTGTACATGGGCACTGCTACTAGGTGAATATATTTGTATAACAAATCCAACAGCGAAAATTAACAAACAAAAGAAGTGATTTTTGGACAAGTATATGTGTGGAGAAAAGTGTACCGGTGTTGTGCTTAAAATTTCCTTTTTAATAGTGTCGATAGTATCGTGTTATTTTCTCATTATCGTTATCGTATTTATTATTTGAGTCATACTAAAAATGGCATAACTTAGTATAAAATAAAAAAAATCATTCAGTTAAATTTTGATTTACAACACAATAATTATGTAAAACTTTTTTTCAGCGAGGATAATTAAATTTTAAAATCCAGTTATATTTTTCAAACAGACTTAGTCCACTTAAAAAAAATATTAATACGCTTAGCATCTTATTTATCCGATTTACTTTTTTTTTGACCGAGTTATATTTTTCAGGTATGTGCATACTAAAAACTGCCTGAATCTTTAATGCCACTATCACGTAGCATAAGGTGACTTAAGTAATCCACAGTTTTAATTAATAGGTCAGGGTGATTTTTTAGGTATATTAATAGCCTATAGTAAATAATATTTATTAGTTATTTAGTTATATATATGATTAGTTATTATTATTATATATATATATATATATATAGTACATTGGACACCCCAAAGTTTCGCGCACCTGGGTATACTATAAGTAGAGCTCCAATCCAGATAAACCCGTCATTCGTTTATCCGTATCTAATTATTCGGATAATTCAGATCGCTCAGACGTCCAGATAATCCAACAAGTATACGGTGTTAACCTGTTTTACCTCTCGGAAATCGAGGCTAACGATCAAATTAGGACTCACAAAACAATATCGATATAATACAGTAATAGAATATATCAAATCTACCTATGTCACTTCACCAAATACTTTCGTCGCCTATGAGTCACAAGTTGAAGCTATAATAGCCAAGCGTGAAAATACTGTAAGCAATGTTCGATCGTCTATACCTATGTAGCCTAATGAGCATATTATATCTATTGAAAAGTTTTCAACTTATCATTAGTAATGTTAACAATAATAGCCAACTTCTTGCCGACATTGAATATTT